TGCTGTCAGGGAGTGGTGAATATCAATGGGAAAGGAGATCAAAAGAAGACACAGGCAATTCAGAGTGTGTTCCCCAGTGAGGAGAGCCAGAAAGAGGTGAGAGCAAAGCAGAGGGCTGGGGAGAGGAGGAGAGAGAAAAGTGTACCTGAAAGCCAAGTTAGTGGCATTGGAGAAGTCCAGGCAGGTCCCTTGAAGTAAGAACCATGTTTTGGCACCATCTGATAGGTAAAAAGTTGGTGGAGAATGAGCAAATGGAGGATGAGGCACCGAGGCACAGATAAAACTCCACCAAAATAGGGTTTGTTAGCAAAGGCACACATGGGACAGATTCCCTTCTGGGCAGGGAAAATGTCCAGGTCTTGAGCTGGGGTCTTTTAAAAAGGGAGGCGTCTGCTTCCTCCAGAAGGCGGGAAGATGTATTTTTTTTAAAAGTTGGGTGAGGGGGGGAAGTGGGAGAGCAGGACTGTTAAAACCTGTCCTCTTTAGAGATAAAAGGGGAAGCCTGCAGTGTTGGCCACACAGTGGAGAAAAGTCTACTTCTCTTGACTTCAAAGACCAAGGTGCTTATCAGCTAGGTTCCCTATTCTCAGGAGCATGAGAAGTCCTTGGGATCTTGTTGGTGAGGGAGCAGGGCTATCTGAACCTTAACAGATATAATTACATCAAACCATCTAAAGTTTTTGTGAACCACTGCCTGGCCACAATACAAACTAGACAACGATTCTGTCTGGCCAAACACAGAAACCCTCATTTCAATATTTTAAGAGATTTTAAAAGTTCTTTTAAGTCTGAGGAGGGTTATAACACAGTTTTCCTTAAGTAATTATAATAGAGATTGTGAACTTCAATTTGATAATGTTTGAATATACCAATTGCTTTTCTCTACCCAGTGTTTACATTTCTTCAAAACCCAAAACAAGTTTTTGGTAAACTATGGGGTGCGCGGGTTTCGCGGAGCACCAGCTGCTGGCTGGCGCCTGTCTCTCCCACGCCGCTGGCTGGTCCCACGCGCCGCGTTGCTGGGGTGCGCGCCTGTCATGCACTGTGTTGCTGTTTGCATCCCTGGCTCTCCGCTGCTGGGCGGGTCCCTGTTTCTCTGCATTGCTGAGGTTCTCTGCTACCGGGGCTGGTGGCTCTAGAGGACCGCTGTCAGCTGTCTGGGCAGGTTCCATCCCAATCTACTGGGCGCTCCCTCTGGGTTCGAGATCCGTCAGCTGCCGGGTCATGAGGGGAGGTGCCGGATGGCAAAAGCAGAGTCTTCGTGAGTCGTTGCTTGCGAAGGGACAGCTCCCTCCGGGAAGATGCAGGGTTCAGTGATACAGCTTCAGACACAGCTCCTGATGCAACTTCGATTTATTAAAGGGAAACCAGGATATTTATACTGTGGGGGGCAGTGGCAAAAGCCTTAGTGGATAGGTGCTTTCAGGATGCCCCATTTACATGTGGTGGTGGGCTTCTGCCAGGCTGCCAGACATTGCCTGATTATCACACAGGAAAACCTGGCAGTTTCTGAGCCAGAGGCCATGTTTCTGTGACGGCTACTTCAAAGATGAGTCAGGAAGAGAGTAGGAAGGCACCCTGCTGATAAAAGGAGTCTCTGCATAGAACGCCGAGCCCCGTGGGCTATCCGGACATGGAGAGACTGCTACTTTACCCAACGGGGGTCCCCAACATCTCCCCCTCTTTGATTTAAAAATGGAGAAGTGCCATCACCAGCCCTAAGGGCCAACTCATCTCATCTCGGGAGAATCCAAAGCCTGATAATTGACCTGTAGTGATTTTAGCAAATGGCAGTAATTTGTCAGCAAGGAAATCTTAAAAACAGTGAGCAAGTATCAAAATAATATACAGTATTATCAGGGGGCAACAAGGGATAGGAGCCATGCAAACAAGGGATTGCTAAGCCAACCTAATTGTTTGGTGGGTTGAAATCATGAAAATGGATTATTACAAAGTTTTTTGAGAGTGTTAACATCGGTTTCAACAATATTTGATTCATTTACAAAGAAGCAGCATTTTTTCCCAATATCATACACCCTTCCCCATATTCAGCAGTTATCAAGTCCAATGTTCTTCTGTTGTGGAGCACAACTCTGGCGAGAGAGTTTATTTGTTGTTTGAGAGATTCCAGGCTGTCAGTCATGGATGTCATTGTCTGATCTAGCTTGTCTCAGAAGTTTGCCAGGTGCTGGGCTTGTAGCAGTTTGTCGCCATAGCAACGCCTCCAGCATCCAGGGAGAGTGTAAGTTCGATTCCTACCAGCAGGGGGAAGAAGATTTTTCTCTGCTAGCAGCTGTGTAGGAGGAAAAGGCTTCTTACACCTGGAATGTACTAGTACACAAAAGGTGGACAAAGAGAGATTAACACTGTTTTGGGCCTTTTTCTTGCACCATATGAAGAGAGGAGGGGTGATGCATGTTGTGCTGGAGAGAGTAGTTAGTGAGGCATTTGTAATGAGTAGGCTTGCTTGCTGAAAATGTAAATTGAATAATTAGCCAGTTGTTTGAATAAGGGAATATCCACTAGATGAGAGTCAGTGAAATCTTTTTCTGTTAAAAAAAAGCAGTTAAACATTGGGGTAGGTGGTGAAGGGAAGAAAGTTAGACTTGTTCCAGGACATAGTTGATCTTATCTGGTCCTCTGTTTGTCTTTCCTGTAGAATAATATTATGAGTTAGCACAGACTTAGCTGCAGGTACAAGCTGTCGAGATATATGAAAGTCAGCTGTAGGGTACCTAGAGAATGCACCTGAGTAGAACTTTGCTATTACTCCAATACGCCAGCGACCATCCCATGGATCTGATTTTTTCCTTGAAATGTTTCTGACATAAAATCTCTAGCACATGGTATTAGGGAGAGTGGGGGCTGGCTGAAGCGTTGCTGTTAAGCAGGGTAAAAACGGCCATGAGGATGACAGAGAAAGAAGCTCTGGGGGGGCATCTGCGGCGAGCAGTCTCCACTAGGTCATGGATCTCTTTCCACGTGATCCGGTGTC